GTTAATTTATATTTGAATTCTCTTGTAATATACTTAAAAGTCATCTTAATTAAAATCAAATCATAATTGACATATTCTGTTTTTGAGTAATATTATATAATATTAACAATTCTGTGATAACAATTTATTAGAATATAGCAACTTAGTGAAATAGATAAGTTGTTATCCTCCAAGTAATAGTTTATAAGTTTAAAACCCATTGATAGCAAAATTTGAATAAACACTTATGTAACATATAAACAGTATTATAGTAATAGCATTCTGTCGATTAGTTAGAATAAAATACCTGTAACTATGGTTGTACTAGCATGATTAACAGGTCTAAAAAATCTGTATAATCTAAGTTATACAGAGAAATACAAACTGGTATTAGGTGATACAAATTTAAAATAAGTCTCTATAGCTGTATAAATCTGTAAAACTGAGAAGCCGGAGCCTATTTGGAAATTATGAACAGATAAGGTAGCATAGATTTTTGACAATACTATTGCAAAGGCTAGATCTAAAAAATAGATACCAATATAGAGAAATTGGATAAGCAAGAATCTTGAATGAGGAGTATCACCAACCAGGCCACCAGATTTTAGAGTAAAGAAAAAAGAAACTGGGCTGGCCTTAATATACTAAGGAAGATTACAGTTTTTCTAGATTGTCTAAATTTGAAATCTGAGGTCAAAGCAAGATTATACTAAAAGTACTAAAGATATGCTGTAAAATTAGTACCAAGATCTGAATGAACTTTATAAAAGTAGTTCTCATTAGTATTCTAAAAGTAGGTAAATAGTTAACAATAGAGGGCTCTCTGCATCTTACTAGCAGATGACATATTTTGAAATATGTAATGGTCTAAAAATTAGTACAAAAAGGATAAGTACTATACTGCTCAAATAGTATACTGTTTAGTTATATACAGAGATTAGTTGGGATTACATTATAATAAGATCAGACGATCAGAGAATTTAAATAGATAATCTTCTAGTAGGTTATAGGTACAGCATCTAGTGTAGAATTCTAGAATGGACTACTTAAATAGGCAATCAAAAGTTGCACTTTAACTAGCTATACTCTCATCTCTGTATAAAATAATGTAATAACTTACTTCAATAATATTAATAAAGTTTTGTCACAAAGTATAGTCTTTAACAAAAAAAAAAATCAAAAAAAAATAATTTATTATATTTTTTTTTTTAGTAATGCTAACTTGATTCATCTATTTTTTAATATTGTTCTAAATTTTATTGATTTTTGTTTATAACAAAATTTTTTAAAATTTATTAATAGTAAAGTTGATATTTATAATAAACTTAAAAACTGAATAATTAAATTCTAAAATTGTTTATAAAAAAACTTTTTGTTAGAGTACTAAAAATAAATTTGTATATAATTTTTTAAGAAATATATAATTTTTAATAAAATAAATATTTGTTATTGATCTTATTATATATATTAATTCTTAAAATATAATTTGTAAAAAAGTTTTGTATTATAATAATTGGTACAGAATTTTTTATTTCTTTAATATTGTTAAGAGCAAAACAAATACCAGAGTTGCTTTAGCTCAGTGCTGCCCCAACCCATGCCACTTATAGTAAGAACATTCCTGAAACAAGCAAACATTATGCATCAATTGCATCTCAAGGAACTTGGAAGCCAAGTCACCCAACTAAAACAATATCATAACAATACAGAATCAGATACTACAGCCATTTGTTGGTATAGATCTACCAGATTGAGCTAGTTATTTGTGTTGCATAAGGCTATTTAAAGTTCTGATTGTAATGATAAATCTGAAACTTTTAAGTTTGATAAGAAAATATTTGATCTTGAGCCCCTGTCTGTCTTTTTTTACAAAACACCATTTCTATATATAAATGCATCTTTTTTTAAGAGTTAAAGAAAAGAAAGTAAATAGAATAGTCATCATTAGTAATAGCTATATTAGTAATAAAAGCCATCTTAGTAATAAACTAAGACTTTGCACTCATGCCTTAGCCTTGCCAAATTATTCTGCCTCTCCTGTGGTGCAATATTTCATGATGTTTGATATTTTTGAGTAAAAATTTATTGCATTTTCCTTGACTCTGTATTCTGTAAACCCAAAATCTCTCTAACAATATATAACATTATAAAATTATAATATTATAATATTATAATATTACAATAATACTATATTATAGCTATATTTGATAATTATATTGATTTGCTAAATTAATATTATTATTAACTATATTCTTGTATAATATATAGTAATTAAAAAGTTAAATTTTAGTGATAAATTCTTGTTTATAATTAAAGATAAACACAATGTAGTTTTTTATAAGTTTGGCAATACTAGTCTAAAACTTTTTGCTTATTATATAATTCTATTAAAAAAAATATTACTAAAAAAAAATTATTTCAAAATTAAATTAGAGTTAAGGTTCTATTAATAAATTAGTATTTAGTTTAAAAGATTATAATTACATTAAATTTTTTTAAGAAAAATTTTTGTTAATATATAGAAAATACTTTTATAAACAAAATTTTAATCTATAAGTGTTTTTTTGTTACTATAATTTTTTTATTCTTCTTATATATTACATATAGTAATATATATTTTCATGTTTTTTTATAACAAAATATATAAATACTATTAAAAGAAAAAAAAGTCTTAAAAAAAAAATAACTAAAGTTAAAACCTAACTGTAAAGAAAAAATACATATATAGAAGATATTTTAAGTTGAATTTTAGAAAGATTAGAGAAATTAGAAAAAACAAAAAAGATGATATAAAAGAATCTAACCAATTATTTCTGAAAATATTCCAATTTAATTTATAAACATAGACAAAAAGATTATAGAGTTTTTGTTAAATAAAAAATGAATTTTTTAGTATATAATATGTATAATATATACAGTACATATTGTATATATAGTTGTTTCTAGTGTCTGATTAATTAGCATAATCTATATAAAAATAATCAGAAAAAATTTTAATGTACAGTACATATAATCAGCCTTCTCTATAGTCATATAGTTAGAATATAGTAAATTTTTTAAAAATATGTTTATAAAGAGATTGTGCTTATATAAAGGTTGTTTAACAATATTAGATGCTTTTACAGAGGTGTGATTATATAAGGTAAAACTATATAGAGGTCTGACTGTACAGTACTGTAGTATAGTACTTTATGTGAACACACCTGATCTCGAAATCTGACTGGCTAGCGAATTTTTAGATTGGTATTTTGAACACTTGCAATTTTTAGTATGATCTTAAAATAAGATTATCTGACCGGCATTACTATAACATATGGCTAGCATTAATATAATATCTGACCCGCATTAAATATTTAACTAATTCCTAATTAGAATTTGTTGATTGGCCAGCGGCAACATCAAAAATTAATCGAAGTTTTACTAATGAAATCATGACCGTCCATTAAGGGGTTTACTAATTTTCCCCCACAGTTCCTATTGGACGAGAAAAAATCCTACTTTTCGATCAAATAATGAAAATGTCGTTGAAACAGTATAAAGGTCTAATAGAACAAATATTATACTAAAATTTTGCAAAGAATTTATTTCGTTAGAACACAAAAGGTGGTTTTATAACTAAAATTTTAAGCTATCGACGATTTTTGAAAAACTTTAAAAACAATGTTTTTTTTTGAAAATTTTATGTTACACCTGATCTTTTAATTTGATTGGTAGACGAAAGGTGGCGTAGTCGACATTGTCCAATTAGAGATGTCATTTACAACTGTCCAATTAGAACTGTGGGAATAAATTAGGGATCCCTCCATTAAACGAAATTTAGGTGGAAAGTTAGCGTAATATTATGTAATTTTAGTAATCTTACGTAGTTTGTGTAAGTATTGAAATCAAGATTACATGTATTTTAATCATTCTATCATATCATATGCGCATCGATTTGATTAGTAACTTTTATGCAAAATATATTGAAGTTTAATACCGACAGCTAAATTCTTCATAGTGCTGTCACTATATATCCTCATGTGAAATTTATATGTTATAAAAATGTAATTTTCAATCCTGAGTGAAATATGTTCCTGGGCTAATTTTACAATTACATAGGCCCAAACCAAAAATTTTCTATTTCCGCAATTAAAAATTAAAAAAGATTGAGTTCTGACAAAATTAATGAATCCCGCGCGAGATTTTTGGAGAAACCGCGATTTGCCCATCTGGTAAGTACTGGTCTCCTCTTTGAGTCTTTTCTTAAACCTATTCTTACACTAACTCTTGTCTACTCTTTTATGCCTCAACCCGGAATTACACTACGTCGAATCGGGGTTAGAACTCTTCTCTTACTCAGGTCGTCAGCATATTCAAAATTAAAAATTTGTCAATCTTTGCATTCAATTAAATCCTTTCTAGATTCTTATTGCAATCTCTGACATAAATAAATCATTCTATTTTTTAAATGTTTTGTAAGTTTGTCTATCATTAACGATCTGGATTTTTTTAGATCCGTCAAGTGAAGATCTGCCATCGAGTTTCAATTATATATGTCCGATCATGGAAGCGATTTTCCGTAAATTGCAATCAGGAAAAATGTCGGAAATGACCTTTAGAAAATAAATAAATCTATAAGAAAATGCAAACTTTAAAGAGCTATACTACAAAATTTTATTAATTTATGTAAAAAAAAACTTATTTAAAAAAATTGTCATTTTCGGCCTCTTTTTCAGCACCTAGCCCACACGATTTGATCGATTAGCCCATGCAGATCTGATATAATAACTAAAAGCCAGATTAAAAGTTTCCTTTGGCGGCAATCATTTAATTGACAATCATTTAATTGACAATCTTTGATAGAAATGACATATGAAATAAATTGCCTTTAAACAGACTTGACTATAAATCAATTGCATATGAAATAAGACACTTATAAAATGGTTGCCTATTAAGTTATAAGCACTCGAAATTTATAGTATAAAAAAAACTCATTGAAATTCGAATTTAATTAAAACTTACAATTATTTGAAATAAGTCAAATGGATAATAACTGTACGGAAAGAACGGACTTGACTAGGTGGAGACTGAATGTTGACGATAGTGGAAGACAGACATGGCATTATTTAGATGAAGATGAGACTAAAAATTATCCTCAATCCTTCGTTGAAAAGTATTGGATTGGATTACCTTTTGTAAGTCTTGAAAAAAAGAATTATGTGAAAAATTTTTCATAAAAATTTATTAATAGCATCTTTAATTACGATTTAATTTGAAAAGCAATCGAAAACTTTTGAAAAGCCAAAAACAGCTTTCGAAGCAGCTCAAAATGGATTCGAATTTTTTAAACAATTACAAACTTCCAATGGTTATTGGGCATGTGAATCTAGCGGGTTGACGTTTTTGACACCATTACTTATTATTACTATGTATATTACGCAAATTCCTATTCCTGAATCTTGGAGAATAGAAACTATTAGATATTTGACGAATAAAGCGAGTCCTATTGACGGTGGATGGGGGTTGTAAGTTTATTTTCCATCTTCTGTAATATCATTCTTGCCTTGGGTGGGAAAATCATGATTTTTTAATTTATTTAGGCATATTGAACATCACTCAACAGTATTTGGGACTACTTTGAGTTATATTGCGCTTCGTATCTTGGGCCTTGATCCAGATCATCCAGTAATGATAAAGAGTAGAACAACTTTGCACAAATTTGGTAAGTGACTTAACACAGACTTTATTTATTAATCTTGTATAAATCACTAATACTTATGTGCAAAACTCGGTACTCACAGGAGGTGCAATTGGTATATCTCCATGGGGAAAATTTTGGTTGGCATGTTTAAATGTATATGACTGGGATGGGCTTAATCCATTTCCACCAGAACTATGGTAATTTTCTCTCAAATATGTATATCTATATTTATTTATTAAATTTCTTGTGTTCTCAATTTCTTTTAATAAATGAAAAAAGGTTGCTTCCAGATTTTGTACCATTTCATCCGAGTCATTTTTGGGTTCATACTCGTCAATATACCTTCCAATAGGATATTGTTATGGCGTAGAATAAGTGCCGAAATTACTCCACTAATTGAGAGACTTAGGCAGGAACTATATATTCAACCATTTGAGACAATTAATTGGTCAAAAGCTCGAAATAATATTGCTATGGTTGACCTTTCTGTTCCGCATACTAAATTATTGAATTTATGCAATTGTAAGCTTTATTTATTATGAATTTGTTACTTAATTTATTAATTAAAATTGAGAAACCTGATACATTATTTATAGATATGTCAAATATTTATGAATTACTTCCTAATTCTGACCTTTGAGATATTGCAATTCAAGAGTGTTACGAATTAATTAAACTTGATGATGAAAATACTGATTATCTTAATATTGGTCCTGTAAATCTTAATCTTTATATTGTATATATTGTCACGGGATAATTAGGGCGAATCCAAGGATTGAGCCAATGCGACGAATTGTCGCTTCAAAAATCGTCGACGTTGCGTAACGTTACCCGAAAGCAAGATGAGGCGGTACGATTTGGCAATGGCTAAGGCGGCTCTCGAGTTAGTTACGGGTAAGTATAGGGACTTTTCAAAAGAACGTTTATGTCTATTTCACTCTTGACACTTTTTATCATTTATAACTGTTTTTATTTTTAATTAATTTATTATAATTTCCTTTAATTTACAGGAGTAAAAGGTCCGGGGGGTCATATCCCACTTAACATCAAAAACGGAGGGCATTATAACGAATTATCAGGGAAGTATGCTTGAGAACATTCTCCCTTTCTTGCATTAATGTTTCCTTTTCTGTTAATTG